AGTGATATTTTAAAAGAAAACCATTTCCCAAATGAATCTATATTTGGTCAGATTTCAGACAAAATAACAAGCTCACTAGATTTAAGGCTCTTCTCCTGCTCCTTAAAACATATTCCCAGGTTACTGTCTAGGACAGTGCTTTTCCAGATCCTTGAAGCCAGAGAGCCAAGGCATTAAGCAAAATTAGGCAGCAGCGCAGTGCACAGAAGAGAGAAGGAGCTAAAATATTCAGTTGAAGAGGGGTTAGGGGTCTAGAACGCCTCCTGCTCAGCCTTGCTTCTCTCATTAACCATTGCTGCAGAGGCACATGCCTCAGGACAACCCCAGGAAAAGGCCACTCCCTGGTGTCACACAAGCGCCACACACAGAAGGTGAGAGAATGAGCCGCAAGTAGATAAGCCACTCTCAGGCATCTGCAAGGAACTTGGGATGACTAGTCCAATAAGAAATCACACTCATTTTTTTTTTTAACACTTTGAGAAGGCAGGAAGACAAAAAGTGAACAGAGTCAGGTTATTCAGATTTTGCCTACTATCCTTTACTTTTTTTTTTTTTTTTAAATTTTTGACAGGCAGAGTGGACAGTGAGAAAGAGACAGAGAGAAAGGTCTTCCTTTGCCGTTGGTTCACCCTCCAATGGCCGCTGCGGCTGGCGCGCTGCAGCTGGCGCACCGCACTGATCCGATGGCATGAGCCAGGTGCTTCTCCTGGTCTCCCATGGGGTGCAGGGCCCAAGCACTTGGGCCATCCTCCACTGCCCTCCCTGGCCACAGCAGAGAGCTGGCCTGGAAGAGGGGCAACCAGGACAGAATCCGGGGCCCCGACCGGGACTAGAACCTGGTGTGCCGGCGCCACAAGGCGGAGGATTAGCCTAGTGAGCCACGGCGCCGGCCAGTCCTTTACTTCTACCTCCTGTTTGGAACCTGGCTGTGGGACGTGGAAGTATCGCATGATACATATGGTCAACCAAGAGTTCGTGAAATCAGCATTGTTATTACCTGCCTCCTTAGGAGAACTGGTTTCCCCCTCACTGGGCTTTTCCCTTCTTCAAATGTTAGATTTAATTCAACCACCAAACACATCATTTTCTCCCCAGAAGTAAGAATTCCAGGGGTATTTTCCTAGCAGAAATGATTTTGAAGAAGTGGCCTCTTTTTGCTGAGCTCTGCACTTTCATTTCCCACTCCACAGGGTCCTGCAGATTCTGTCACCTTCCCCTCAACCTTGTCCCTCTCCTGGGTTAATGTTCTGCCACCTACCCAGGCACTAAGCTAAAGCCACAAAGACATCATGGAAACAGCAACCATTCATTCACTGGCACTTGAAGACACACATAGATGAGGATTTTTTAAACCTCCATGCTACCGTCATTTTGGGTAGGAAAATTCTCTATCCTGAGCCTGTTTAGCAGTGTTTAGCAGTGGCAATGGCCTGGAGATGCCAAAGGCACTGACCCCACCCTAGGCTTCACAATACCAAATGTCTCCACGCGTTGTCCAAGGTCTGCCAGAGGCAAAATCAACTCTGAGAGCCACTGATGACCACTCATGTGGATACTGCTTCTGCCTGGCAAGGTCCTATAGAGTGAGTATTGGAACTGCACATTAAATTATACAGATAAGGAAACAGGGTCACGGAACAAGGACTTGAATGTGGCAGAGCTAGTCTCAAAGAAAGTACAATAAAAGCTACTTCCCAGGGGCCAGCACTGTGGGTAGCAGGTTAAGCACCATATAGGTGCTAGTTTGTGTCCTGGCTGCTCCTCTTTCCATTCAGCTCCCTGTTAATGGCCTGGGAAAGCAGCAGAAGATGGCCCAAGTCCTTGGGTCCCTGCACCTGTGTGAGAGACCTAGAAGCTGCTCCTGGCTCCTGGCTCCTGGCTTCAGCCTGGCCCAGACTTAGCAGTTGCAGCCATCTGGGGAAGTGAACCAGTGGATGGAAAACCTCTCTGTCTCTGTCTGTCTATCTTTCTCTCTCTTCGTAACTCTGCCTCTGAAATAAATAAATTAATTTGAAAAAAGCCACTTCCCATTCTCTGCTGTCTCTGGTGCTAAATTCTCCCTTGCATCGAGAGTGTGTTTTTCTTTTTAATCCATTTTAATCTTTCAGATGGCATGTCTTGATCTTACCGTCTGATTTCTATTTCCTGTGCAACTGCCTTAGCTCAGATGTCTGCTTCCCACCTCGATTCTAGTAAGCAGGCTCTTCGTTTATCTCCCTGATTTCAGTCCCTTCATCTTTCAATCTTCCTTTCACATTCCTAGGAGCTGACTTTCTCAAACAGATATGATCACACAACTGCTTGACTGAAAAATCTGTTTTCCATATAGCTTACAGCAGTGGTTCCCAGAGGGTGGTCCTGGGACCAGCAGTATTGGTATCACCTGGAAGTTTATTAGCGATGCAAATCCTCAGGCCCTGGTACAGACCTACTAAATCAGAAACTGCAGGGTACAGACCCAGAACTGTTTTAACAAACCTTCCAGGTGGATTTTTTTTTTTAATATTTATTTATTTATTTGAAAGTCAGAGTTACACAGAGAGAGGAGAGGCAGAGAGAGAGGTCTTCCATCCAATGGTTCACTCCCCAGTTGGCTGCATCGGCCGGAGCTGCGCCGATCCGAAGCCAGGAGCCAGGAGCTTCTTCCGGGTCTCCCACGTGGGTGCAGGAGCACAAGGACTTAGGCCATCTTCTACTGCTTTCCCAGTCCATAGTGGAGAGCTGGATCGGAAGTGGAGCAGCCAGGTCTTGAACTGGCGCCCATATGGGATGCCAGTGCTTCAGGCCAGGGCGTTAACCTGCTGCGAGACAGCGCCGGCCCCATCCAGGTGGATTTATTTATTTGAAAGTCAAAGGAGAGAGAGAGAGAGAGAGAGATCCTCCATCTGCTTGGTTCACTCCCCAGATGTCCGCAACAGCCAGTGCTGGGCCAGGCCAAAGCCAGGAGCCAAGCAGCTCCATCTAGGTCTCCCACATGGGTGGCAGGGGCCCAAGGGCTGGGACCATCTTCTGCTGCTTTTCCAGGCCATTAACAGGCAGCTGGATCAGAAGTGGAGTAGCCAGGACATGAACAGGCTTCTGTGTGGGATCCTGGTGTCACAGGCAGCAGCTTTACCTGCTACCCTACAATGCCTGCCCCAGATGCTCGGGACATGGAAGAGCGTCTGGCTTACTCGACAGAGCTCTAATGCCTCCAGATGGTACAGGAACCCTGACTTCCTTTCCAACCAAGTGCTTTGCCATCACTTTACCCTCCTGTCTCCCTCACGCTTGCTGACCTTTCAATTTCACTCTTTTCATGAGCTATCAAATGTGTATTTGTCTTTGTGCTCCAAGCACCAGTGGTAGGAGACAGCCCAGCTCCTGAGTGGCTTACTAACCTGGGCTGGGGGCACCAGCCATGCCACCCCAGTTGGAGTTAGGTATACACCATGCCATTTTGAGGCGCAAGCCTCTGCCATCATGTCTCTTCCTTTGTGCTGAATTGCTATGCCTCATTCTCAAATGCATCTTTTCCCGAATTAGTAGTAGGATTAATCCCTTCTTCTGTGTCTGCTGGCCTTACACATCTTACGCTTTGTTCACCTGAGATGCAGATTCTGGGCAGGAAAAGCCTTCTCTCATCTTCACAGAGCCAGCACTGTGACTGTGAGATCAGCCTGGCAGCCCCCAGAATCTTCATAGAGCTTTATAAAAGTATGCATGCCAGAGCTCACTCCCAGATCCACAGAAACAGAACCTTGCAAACCTGTATTTTAAAAATATCCATACTGGGGTTGGCACTGTAGCATGGGGTAAAGCCACTGCCTGCAGCACCGGCATTCCATAAGGGCGCCTGTTCCAGTCCCGACTGCTTCACTTCCCATCCAATTCCCTGCTAATAGGCCTGGGAAGGCAGCAGAAGGTGGCCCAAATGCTTGGGTCCCTTCACCTACTTGGGAACCCCAGAACAAGCTTCTGGCTCCTGGCTCCTGGCTTGGGATTGACCCAGCTCTGGCTGTTGCAGCCATTTGGGGGAGTGAATCGGTGGATGGAAGATCTTTCTCTCTGTCTCTGTCTCTGTCTATCTCTCTGTAACTCTGCCTTTCAAATAAATAAATACATAAATAATATCTTTAAAAAGTCCACACTAGCGGAATATCCTGGATAGAACAGTTTTTTTTTTTTAAACTTTTATTTTATTTATTTGAAAGGCAGAGTTATAGAGAGAGCATGAGACATAAAGAGAGATCTTCATCTACTGGTTCACTCCCCAAATGGCCGCAACAGCTGGGACTGGGCTAAGCTGAAGCTGAGAGCCAGGAGCTTCCTCTGGGTTTCCCATGCAGGTGCAGGGACCCAAAGACTTGGGTCATTTTCCACTGCTTTCCCAGGCCATAGCAGAGAGCTGGATCGGAAGTGGAGCAGCTAGGACTCACAGGCGCCCATGGCGCCCATACAGGATGTTGGCATTGCAGGCAGTGGCTTAACCAGCTATGCCACAACGCCGGCCTGCAGCAGGTGTTTAATTGCCTTTTCTTTATGGTCTGAACAATGTCTTGGCTGGGCTGGCCAGGATCAACCTTACCCATCCCCCAGCTTTGTGGTTTCCTCACCTCTTCTTTCTATTTCACTTTCCATTTCCTCTAACTACAAAGTATCTGCAGTGATAACAGCTGAATGGTAGTCATGACTGGTAAAAGGCAATTCTTTGTTCACATGACTTTAGTTCCTGGCCCAACTCCTGGTGCCTTAAAGGTTCATATTTTTCAGTCTCGGGCATCCAGCAGTACCCTTAAATTAAGGCTGTTGAACAGTTCCAAAAGTAGAGAAGTACCTCCAAAAGTTCCTGAAAAAGCATATTTAAAAGATAAGTATATTTGGAAAGAAAGAAAGAAAGAAAGAAAGAAAGAAAGAAAGAAAGAAAGAAAGAAAGAAAGAAAGAAAGAAAGAAAGAAAGAAAGAAAGAAAGAAAGAAAGAAAGAAAGAAAGAAAGAAAGAAAGAAAGAAAGAAAGAAAGAAAGAAAGAAAGAAAGAAAGAAAGAAAGAAAGAAAGAAAGAAAGAAAGAAAGAAAGAAAGAAAGAAAGAAAGAAAGAAAGAAAGAAAGAAAGAAAGAAAGAAAGAAAGAAAGAAAGAAAGAAAGAAAGAAAGAAAGAAAGAAAGAAAGTTGAAATCCAGCTATGGTCTTTTCAGAATATGCATTTTCCACGAACTTTTTGAAAACCCCTTGTATCTTTCAGGGTTTTAATTTCCTTGCGGGGCTACAAGCTCAGGGGTCGTCCTTGGCTGGTGATCATGGTTATGCTTGTGTTTCCCTGAAGTTGGTTGTGAGGTCTGGAAGTCACTCACCTGCAGACTGGCTCAACGCAAAGTCCCCGAGGGGCGTGGCCAGCTGTTCTGCAGCTGAGGGGGAAAACGGGAAGTTGTCCGGGCCGGCGTTGCAGAGAGCGAGAAATCGAAACTCAGCTGTTAAAACCGCTGCCCCAGTCCTTTGGAATCGCTTTGGAAACTCGCTAGGCGACCCAGCCCTCAACCGTCCCGCAGCGGCTGCGCTCACGAGTCCTAGGTTGGGAGCCATGGGCACACGCAGTAGGGTGCTGGGCTCTGGGCTCCGCGAATCGCCAGCTTCTCGCCCGGCCCAGGACCCCAGTGAGCGGCACGCGGAGCACAGCCCCCTGCAGGACCAGAGACGGGGTTTGGAGGCGGCGCCCGGGAACGCAGCAGCGCGGGCCACCCCGCAGCACGCGGGCCCCAGCCAGTGAGTATTTAACAACCCGGCTTTGGGCTGGGAGCTCAGGCCCCAGACTTGCTTTCTTCCAGGCAATTTCTTGATCTTTGGGGTTTGAAACCACAGGGGCCCAAGAAAAGGGGTTTTGAGAGACGGAAGCAGTCCCATTTACCTAAGTTAATCTGTGAGTTACCTGGTAACAACAAACTGTAGCCTGCCTGTTTGCTGTCCTTTATTAAGCGTCCCGGCACCGCGTTCCTTTCAACAGTACTGGCCTGATTCTCATGACTGGCTAGCAGGGGCGGGGAACCTCCAGTCCCTGGGTCATATAAGGCCCGCCAGATAATTTGGTCTAGCACTGCCAAGGCAACCGTTTGCAGGTGGACTTGAAATTGAAATCTATGGCAGGCTCATTTTTACATTGATCATCTTTATGGCTCTTGAATGATGCCAAAAATATTGAAATGGCCCTTGGCAGGGGAAAAAAAAAAAGTTTTCCATCTCTGCAGGATTGAAAGATATGGGAGTGGGGAGATGGCAGCAGAGCTCACACCCCAACTAGGGTGAAGGTATGTTTTCCCTTTGCGTTTTAAAGAACTGGTTCCCAGACAGAATCATCATATCAGATGCCAGGATAAGGGTCAAGAAAGGGTGTGTCCTGAACCTGAAGGAGCAGGTTGACTCTTTCCAAGACTCCCAGATGAACTGGCCTCTTCGGACCAGGGGAGCAGGGCTGAGAGAGTGTGGACTCCAGCTACCAGGAGGTGGCGGTGCACCTGGTCCCTGACCTTGATACCTGCCCGAAGCAGGAACAGGTGGATGCACTGCTTCTTGTCCCTTGATTCAGGGACTGCAGTGTGGATCTTGGAAATACTTATGCAAAGTGTGATTCTCTCTGCCCAGGAGCAGGAGCTTGCTTACCTATTGGTGTGGTTGGTAAAGACATTATTTTCTTTGAAGTACTGCCTCTGGGAATTAGGATGATCCATGATGGTTTTATTTTTAGCTTCTCCCTTTTTATAGACTTCTAGTGATGTGAGAGACAGACGCTGGTTGCTGAGAAACAGTAGGACCCTATGATCAGTAAATAGTAGAATTTCTTTCATGCCTTAACTTTTGAAAGTACCAGGCCTTTAATATCATTCGACTTAGGGTTACCCTTAGATGGGGTGGAAATCAATTAGAGACTGATTCCTTGCTTTAAAATAGTTGCTGTCTTGCCATAATAGAAGCTCATGAATTCCAAGTGAACTACATATCTACAAGTTGCAGCATTTATGAGTTACAGAGGTCATGAACATGATCTTGTGTCTGTGAGGGGTCGATAATAAACACCATTTACATGCTCTTTCTATTAAAAAGCATCTGCTTGGATATATTCGTTGGTAAACTCACAACATAAGCATCAGAGGTTGCATCTATCTGTTTTCTAATTTGATTGTAATTACCCCCAATATGCTGCTGGACCAAATCTCTCAGAAAGGAACAGTTTTCTGATAATTTATCTAGGCCTCAATACCCAGAAGACATCTCTCCCATACTATTTTGTGATTTCTAAGATTTGCAAATAGACCATTGAAGAAGTACTTGCAAGAGTTCAATTATCTTTTGCAGAGTTCTTTCTTTTCTTCCTGTGAACCAGTGGCAGAGCATTGACAGCTCCCTCTCTTCCAGGTGTTTTACCTCTAAGATCCTGTTTGGATCACTCTGAGTTCTTGTTCCATCTCCATTATACACTATCTACTTCCTCACGTCTTTAATGGAAGTAAGGAACCAAGAGGAATGATCGAATGGCAAATGACATCTCAATGAATCAACAGCAACAAATTAAGGGATGGTTTAGTTTGGAGACAGAAAATAGCATTTTCTGGGTGGAATAGGGTGGGAGCTTACTGCTCTCGTCTAGGGAAGGATAGTTTTAACTAAAAAAGTGGAGAGAGTACGATCTCAGGAAGCATTATGGTGAAAATGACAGGAAATTCCACTCAAATTGGGGGGACATTGGGGGCCTATGTGGAGGGGCACAGCTTGGGACCCCAGCAGCTTCAGCACTGGGTTAGGAGTGAGGTGAGACCAGACTGCAGTAGCCCAAGCCACTGGCAATAAAACTGTGGGAAGAGCCTGGTATGGGCCTTGCCTGGAGCCCTGTGGAAGACATTGTTCCTGCCAACGTAGAGGTAAAAAACAGGGGGCACATTTCTCTCTCCCCAACCACTTGGCACCAGCAGCATGTAACTAGTCGAGAGAGGGCAGGCACCATTTTGGACATATGTAATAGATGTGCCAGGTCATGTCCAAGAGTCCAGCAAGCAGTCCAGAGGAGAAACCTGAGTATGGCTGGGAGAATTGACGAGGCTGGGTGCTCATGACCATAGGAGTCTTGTGTGCCAGGACTGTGAAAACACGGTGGCTGCGTGGGAGGTTGGAGGATGTGTCTGGGACTTTGGGGAGTCACTGTGGGCAGCTCTACATGCTTAGGGCTCCCTGATTGCCTGGTGAGGTTCATTGCTACAGGATCTGTGTTCATACTGAGGACTGCACAGATCCGTTGTATGGTTCTTGTAACAGCATGGATAAAAACTGTACCCACTGGGGCTAGTGCCCAGGCATTGATCTCCTTTGAGGAGAGGAACTGAGCATGAAAATACACCAACAGAGTAGAACAAAACTATTCTCTTATTAAAAAAAAAAAAAGATTCATGCCTAACTTGGGCGTCACCCTGGACACTCCCCTCACCCTGGAGCACCGAGTAGAGCTCGATAACCACACCAGCACATGCCTCTGGATATTCACTGAAAGAGCAGATGCTCCACTAATCCACAGAGGCACAGTCCAAAGATAAAAGCCACCACAGGGGGAAAAAAAGTATCACCACAAATGCCTAATAATAAACACAGCAATTCAAGAAACAAGAATAAGGAAGACAACATGACACCCCCAAAAGAACACAACATTTCAATTCTAGAATGTGAACATGAAGAGATTGATGAAATGCCAGAAATGGAATTCAAAAATTGATCATAGGATTACTTAAAAGTAATCAGAAGCAAATTCACGCACTAAAGAAACCCATACATGACATGAGTGAAAATTTCTCCCATGAAATTGAGATTTTAAAGCGATATCAAAACAAAATATTGGAAATGAAAAATTCAATAGAACAAATACAAAATGTGGTGGAAAGCCTTAAGAACAGACTTGATGAGGCAGAAGAAAGAATACTTGAGTTAGAAGACAAATCCTTGGAAATTTTACAGTCAGACCAAAAAAAAAAATAAGATTAAAAAACTGAAAAACAGTGTCAGAGATTTATGGGACACTATCAAATGACCCAACATATGTGTCTTGGGAGTTCCTGAAGATGTGGAAAGAGAAATGGATTAGAAGGCCTTTTTAGTGAAATAATTACAAAAAAACTTCCCTAATTTGGAGAAAGAAGGAATAGTCCAAGTACAGGAAGCACATAGAACTCCTAATAGACATGACTAGAAAAGATCTTAACTACAACACATTGTATTCAAACTCTCCACAGTAAAAATTAAAGAAAAGTTTCTAAAATGTACACAAGAGAAACATGAGATTACTTTCAGAGGATCTCCAATTAGACTCACAGCTGACTTCTCATCAGAAATCCTACAGTCTAGGAGAGAATGGTGAGATATATTCCAGATCTTAAGAGAAAAACTGTCAACCCAGAATACTGTACCCTGCAAAGCTTTTATTTATGAAAGAAGATGAAATTAAGACTTTTCATAGCAAACAGAAATTGAAAGAATTTGTCACCACTCATCCAGCCTTACAAAAGTTGTTTAAGGATGTGCCTACACATGGAAACACAGAAACGCGGTCATCACTATGAAAGAAAGTGAAGGCAGAAAATCTTCCAGTAAAAGTACAAAGGAAATCCAAAGTAAACAGTAGGAATATTTATAGAAAAATGGCAGGACCAAGTCCTTACTTATCAATAGTCACCTTGAATATAAATAGCCTTAATTCTCTAGTTAAAAGATACAGACTGGCTGAAAGGATTAAAACACAAAACCCATCTATTGGTTGCTTATAAGAAACATATCTCACCAACAAAGATACATACAGACTAAAAGTGAAAGGATGAAGAAAGATATTCCATGCTAACAGAAACCAAAAGGAGCTGGTATAGGCATCCTTATATCATACAAAATAGACTTTAACAAAAATAGACTTTTAACAACTGTTAAAAGAGACAAGGGCACTATTTTATGATTAAGGGATCAGTTCAACAGGAAGATGTGACTATTGTAAATGGATATGCACCTAATCACAGGTCACCTGGCTATTTAAAAGAACTATTAATGGATCTAAAGGGAGACGTGGGCTCCAACACAATAGTATTGGGGGTACTTCAATACTCCATTTTCAGCAATGGACAGATCAACTAGACAGGAAATCGGCAAAGAAACAACAACAGAGTTAATTGACACTATAGTCCAAGTGGTCTATTGTGAATACACATTCTTCTCACCAGTGCATGGAACTTTCTCTAGGATGGACAATATGCTAGGCCATAAAGCAATTCTCAGCAAATTAAAAAAATTTGAAATCAAACCACGGATTTTTTCTGACCACAATGGAATGAAACTAGAAATCAACAACTCGCAAATCTTTAGAACATATGTAAACACATATATGAACAACACAATATGAACAACACAGTCCTAAATGAACAGTAGATCATTGAAGACATCAAAAGAGAAATAAAAAATTTCTAGAAATGATTAAGACAATACAATATATCAAAAGTTATGGGTTACAGCAAAAACAGTGTTACAAACAAGTTTTTTTTTTTAACTTTTTTTTTTTTTTTTTGACAGGCAGAGTTAGACAGTCAGAGAGAGAGACAGAGAGAAAGGTCTTCCTTCCGTTGGTTCACCCCCCAAATGGTTGCTATGGCTGGTGCGGCACTGATTCAAAGCCAGGAGCCAGGTGCGTCCTCCTGGTCTCCCAGGCAGGTGCAGGGCCCAAGGACTTGGGCCATCCTCCACTGCCTTCC